AATTCAATTTTAAGTTCTATCCTTACAATATTTCACAGTTCACATTTTATTTGAAAAATACAAATTTCTCTAAATACATTAATAAGAAGTAAGTCCTATAAAAGGTTTTTTCTAGCTCATGTTTTTTGCTTGTTTTTGATTTTTTCGTCGGTTTTGTTTTTTACTTGTTTTTTTTTGTTTCTGTTTGTTTTGCATTTGTTGTTTTTTTTTGTTTTAATTTTGTTTTTTTTTAATATTTAGTTTTGTTATATTATTTTTTATTTTTGTACATGTTTTAATTCTTTTCGTCAGAGCTTTAAATTTAAGGAGTTTACATGATTATAAATAATTTTGTATACATCGAAATTCTTGAGGACGAGATGTGACAATTTAATAGGTATTTGGACATTATGTTGAATAAGTTTGGTATATAGATTTGATATGTCAATATCATTTAAAATACATACATTGGCGTAGAATTTTTAAAGGTGCAATTATTTAAAAAATCAAGTTCTACGCCTATGTATTATTATCGGACAAAATTTTAATACCGTTTTTTTGCCACATAAAACTCTACCAATATACCACATTTCAGCAAAATCGCATATGCCGTTTTAAATTTATATGGGAAAAACGATTTAAAAATTGTAACTTCAAGGCCGTCTGGAGCCCAAACGAAGCAACTTTGTACTAAGGTAATTTTACTTAAATCGACTTATTTTGGTCTAAGGAATATGTGGTATGTTTTTGTAAAGACCTTTTACAGACACCCTGTATAAAAATCACATTGGCAACAGTGTGCACACTCTAACTTAAATATATGAGATCATAGTTACATTTTAACAGCATAAACGTACTGTCTAGTCTTGGTAATTTTTGCATGACGCACAGATGGCGCATCGTTTAACTTTAATCGCTAATTTTGAAAGTTAAATAAAATTTATTTCGGGTACGTGACAAACCCCCAAAATTTTCAATTTTTTAGTAATTTTTTTTTGTAGCATCAATATGTTTCAGGAATTATTTTCGAATTACATTTTAATTACTTAATTTTAATTAATTTAATTACTAGTTGCACCATATATCATGTAAAAACCTAGATAAGGCTAAACATAATAATAATAAAAACAGCATTCCAACCATCAATTTTATTAGTTTGTTCTTGGCTCCTTGTTGCATGAGGACGAAATTATGTTCTTGCTTACCTACTTGTTGGATCTTGGCTCAGTAAATCTTTTGGTACGAGATAAGTGGAGTGTAATTAAAGACTCTGATGCAAGAAGGGGATATGTGCACAATTTTAAAAAAAACTTAGTTAAATGCAAAAATGGTTTTCAAAATATGCTCTTTACGGCTGGTGCAAGAATGAGATATGTACGACTTATAGAAGCTGAATTATAAGAGAAGATAACTTATCCCGTAAACTAGTCCCAGATAACACACCAAATCCCAGAGATATCCACAGAATATCTTTTGTGGATATCCAATATATCCACAGGATATCAGAAATATCCAAATGGATATCCAAATGTCCGTCTATATCCAGAATATAGAAGATATCCAATGTATATCCAGCAAAATATCTAATGGGTATCTTCCAGACAATACAAGAAATCTCAGAGATATCCACAGAATATATTTTGTGGATATCCAATATATTTCAGTGGATCTAATATGGATATCCCAGGATATAGAAGGTATTCAGCAAAATATTTTATAGGTATCTTTAGTAGAGGTTCATAAGTAACCAATGATTATTGAATAACGTCGAAAGAAAATAGCAGAGATAAAAAATATTTTCAACACTCTGCCTTTGATTTTGCCCACTAAGGAGAAAGTCATCCTTATTAGGACTCTTCAGCAATAAATGGAAATTCTCGACTCCAGTCTCTAGAGGAGTCTGATTGCGAAACCAATTTCGATCGAACTCAATTACGGCGGGTTGAGCATGAGTAGATATTCAACGAGCGAAAGTGGTATCGCCATCTATACTTAGTAAGCAAAATCAAAAATTACATCTAGTGGATATCCACCATGGTTTGCGTTCGCGCCTAGACTTTGATATCTTTAGTGGATGTCCATGTAATATTGAATACACCTTAAAAAAATTAATTTTAAATATCTGAACGGTACTATTAGCCACAATGACGTAATTTTTTAATAATTTGCTATATAATTACTATTATTTATGGACATTTGCATGTCTATAAATTACATCTCATGGATATAAAATAGATATCCACCATGGACTGGACATTCAGTGGATATTGGGATGTCCAGTAGATATTCAAAGGATTTGGTGTTGCTTATCCCGTTCTTGCAACATAGCGATGTTGGTTTTTTATAGGTGTGAAATTGTCCCCACTATGTCCCTCCAATGCACTGTATGTGCCATTGCTTTTGCGACTTATTAACGTCTCGTAGTTCCGACACAGAATAATCACTATTACAGAAATGAAGGCTTGCGTCGGCACGTTTGATGTCGGGGTGGCCAAAATTTAAAGTGACACTCGCTGACAGTTGACGTTCTTGCCGGTTGTTACACTGGTAAAAATTACCAAGATTCTTATAAATTCGGATAATACACTGAGAAAAGGATTTAAATATATGTAACAAACTTATTTAGCAACATCCACTATTTCTTCTCTGAATTGAAGGTTAGTGATATAATTAGAAAAAATAAGGCTTCACGATAATTTATTTTGAAGTAAATTGTACTGATCGCTATATTAAAAAAGAGTTTTTACTTGAGGAACCAGACCGAATGCTCGTTGTACTTAATTCATCAGTTTTTTTTAGATAATATTAACTCTTTAACAGAAGGATTCTATTACAAATTATTGATGTATTAATTAATTGTATACTTTCCTGAAAAACACCTTCAACTGTGATAGTTGGATCTAGAAAAATAGATTAAACTAATAATAACTGGCATTAAAAATGCAAATACTTCCGAACTGTCATTTTGAAAGCCTTTTATGTGTTTTAGAACCTTATCATATGTCAATAATACCATAAACAATCCTTGTATTAAGACTTTCGCCATACTCTTATAATAATTTGACAACTCGGTGGATAAATCTGTGATTTTTACAATTCCATTTTTGTAAACAAAATTAATCTAGTAGTCGTTGGTAGAAAAGCATCACCAATAATTGGCGTATCGATTTATTACACTGTTTTACACTAGCACTAGCTCAAATGGCTTTTCTTTCGAGTCTTTTGTGCAGAGTTGTCCAGTAATTGCATCACTTCATTAACGTGGGAGTGGAGTCGACCCTCATGTTTTGCAGTAACCTCTTTTTCTTATTTGTCTGTATGAAGATAATCGTTTAGATAGAGCCAGGGTGCATCAATGATACATCTTAGGACTTTATTTTGGAAAATTTATATTATGGCACATCCTCGTAGCTGTATTTCATAAATCCAGACGACTTAGGATTTGTTTATAAATCATATGAATTTGTTGTATACATAAATTTGCATTTTTAGATGCATAATTATTAGAACTATGAATTAAATTGAGATTTGAAGAAAAGTACTGTAGGAAAAAGGTTGTTATAAATAAAACACGTACCCATACTGACTATTAATTTTAATAAACCAAAATACGAAAAACACATATTACAAAAATCAGATTAATAAAAATATCAATATGAAAAATACCTACACATCAAAAGGCACAAAATTTTAGACAAAGGAATATGCCCTAGGTCCTAAAAAATACAAGGTAAGCACAAACTGCTTGTATTCATTGGAATGTCTTCTAGCTAGAGGCTTTTTGTTTTTAAATTCCGCTTGAGATTTAACTAATCTGCAAATGGTTGGTTTAAAAATTGTGGCCCAACCGAAGGATATTTTTGGGACTGGCACATGCATTATCAAAATAGAAACAACAATATCTCTTCAATCTTCAAAGTTAGTTATTCTTTTGCTGGGACCTAAAAAAAAATATTTAAATTAAAAAAATACATAAAAACAACACTTTTATATTATTTTTAATACCTGGTGTACTGAGAAAATCGTCGTGGGATTTAGTAGGGTACAGATTCATTCAGAATGATCAATTATTTCATTTGTTGTGGGTGTGTGTCAGAATATTGTCAAACATACATTTTCAAATAAACATTTCCGAGTTGATCCAAATGAAAAACTACTGGGCTGGAAATGTTTTTTACACAACTGGTAGCTTTTGTGTAATTATTCACTGGTTATATTAATCAAGTCTTCTCGACTACAGGCTCTTAACAACATGGGAAACCTAAATAAATACAAAATACATTGTCATAGGTAGATAAATATAATTTGATTTAAAAATGATAATAAAATATTTGTTTTGATTAAATAGCCAAATAAATAACATACAGTTAACATTGCTGCATTTGAAAAGTACCTCGTTTTACTCATTTTACTCGAAGCCGTTCTCGATGGGTTCTGCTCCATGGTCATTTAAATTGCATAATTTATTTTGCATACCTTTCTGAAACTTTGGGAAATGAAAAATAACTAGTATACGAATCCGTTCGAGGTAGACATGGGCGATAAACACATCTCTTTCTTTTAGATCCCATCAGTTCACTAAAAAATTATTTTGCTTTAATAAAATAAATAAAAATATGTAAATAGCTCAGAACATACCACAAAAAGTCTTCCATTAAAAACATGTTTACTGAACAATGTTCATAAAATAGACAAAGGAAAGCACTAAACACAGATTTACTCAATAATTGTTAAAAAATATACAAAGGAAAACACTAAAATACACTTAAATTCGATAAAAAAAAAAATCATAAATTATAAATGACTGATCCTGACACATCAAAACAACACTCGTGACATGACAGTTTTGCCGGTTATAAAATGGCGGCCCTGATCATGCGCAAAAAATTTTGGACCCCAAAAATTGACGTGCCTTCGCTTCTGTAAAAGTATTCTGTGGTTCCGATTTGAGTGTCGAAGTGGGCGGTCGGCCGTCTTTTTCTTACGATTTACGGCGAAATATTAGTATCTACCGCAATAATATGAATTCCAACAGTGATAGCGAATTAAGTGAACCGTTTCAAAGTTCGGGTAGTGATTTTCAGCCATCAGAGGAAAACGAATCTAGTTCATTTGAAGACAGTCAGCAAGAACAACGTCCTCAGAATAATGGGGAGAGGAATGAAGATAACAGCGTAGAAAAACGCGGCCGGAAGACAACAAGAAATGTGGAAAAGTGGGCACGCAATGTACAAAAAGTAAAAAGAGCTAAATGTGAATGCTATAAATCAGTGTCAACGGGAAAACTGGTGGAAGCAAGAAAACAGGGCAATGACTGTAAATGTAAGAAAGATTGTATTAAAAAACTGTCAGAGGAAGAGAAGGAGTAAATAATAATAACGGCTTTTAATAATATAAGAGACCAAGAAAAACAAGACTCATATTTATCAAGTTTAATAAAAGTATGTACGATTTCTAGACGTCGAAAAGAACAGGTCAATCCAACATTAACACGTAACCGCACCTACAAGTACAAGGTAAGATTTTTAATATGCACAGGCGATTTTACATTAATTCCGTTGTTTCGTTTTTAGTTAAGAAAGGGTGCCTTTGAGTTGGAAGTTTGTAAAATGGCACTGTCTTCTTCATGGTGTGGGCAAAAAACGTCTGGAGCGAATTGCAAGCCATATTTCCACTAACATTACACATGTGCAGGATAAGCGAGGCCGGCACTCAAGTAGGCCCAATGCAGTTCCCGAAGACCTAAAAATGCAGGACATACTTAGTTTTCCAAAACGGATTTCCCATTATTCTCGAAATCTTTCAATCATGCATGATCTCTACCTCAAAAAATTTGAACCTGACATATATTCGCTCCGTGCGAAGTCATGGAAAGGGAAGCAAAAGCGATACTAGCGCTATACTCAAACAAATAATGATTGAGAGTGAACCGTGTTGTCATATCTCAATTTTACCTTACTAGTTTTTAGCAGAATCAAAATAGAGTAAGTAGTAGAGTTGTAAGTTGTGGCAAATTATAGATAATATACAATCATAGTACTAATAAAAGATATTAATTATAACAAAAATCAGTAATGAGTAATACTTATACATTTCTTGATCATTTAAAATTAATTATTTTATGGATTGTTCAGTATTTGTTACAACTAATGGCATCGGTGTACGGAGCGATATTTGTGTCTTTGTCTGTTACGCGTAAAATCCATCTCGTCGATGACGTTCTCAGTAGTGTATTTCTAACCACGAGCGTAACATCGGGTTTTGAATTATACGGTGTGAATTGTAAGTTTTACAGTTAAGTTAGTAAGTAATCGACGTGTTGTAAGAACAATTGGTGAAAATATTAGTGCTAATAAGTGTTTAAACATTAAATAATAATATTTCTACACCGTTCTAAAACTATGCAAAAAATGGAAGACATTGAAGGGCCTTCAACGTCGAAAAAGGTAAAACGGTCGAAGTCTCGGTCGCTAAGTGAAAAACAAATTGTACTTCGAGTATTTCACTGTCTTGAAAGAGATCATCAGCGACCAAAAGATAACTTAGTGCATATGTGCTGTAATTCTACGGATGTACCTCCGAATAACCAACTGGGCGTTCCAACATCATTAACTTTCACAATTACAAAAGATAAATTAGTCGATATGTGCTCTGATTATACGGGTGTACCAAAATCATCAGTTTACAAAATACTAAGAGAAAACAAAATTCATGGGGAAGTACAAACGCCAAAAACTAGTAGCGGAAGAAAAAAAATCACAGTTGATGAAGAAGCCAAAAACAGTATACGCACAACTATTCACAGTTTCTTTTTCAGAAATGAGCTGCCCACTTTGCAAAAAGTTCTGGAGGCAGTTAGCGATCATGAATTGGTCCCACAAATGAGTAAAAAAACTTTGAGGAAAATTTTACACGAAATGAAATTTACGTACGGAAAAGTCGACAGGAAAAGCATTCTCATTGAACGTCAGGAAATAATAGTATGGAGAAGAAATTATCTCCGAAAAATTGAGGAATTTCGGAATATCAAAAAAAAAAATTACTACATGGATGAGACGTGGGTTAATCAAGGACATACGGTCAAAAAAGTATGGCAGGATGGTCATATAACAAGTGCACGACAAGCCTTTATTGAAGGCTTGTCAACTGGGTTAAAACAGCCGTCTGGAAAAGGTAGTCGTCTGATAGTTACGCATATAGGAAGCGACACTGGATTTTTACCAAATGGTGAATTAATATTTAAATCCAAGAAAACAGGCGACTATCATGAAGAGATGAATGCGGAGGTGTTTGAAAAATGGTTTGAAGGCATCATTCAACTTGTGGAACCTGGGTCTGTCGTCGTCATGGACAATGCCCCATATCATAGTCGGTATTTAGAATCATTACCGAAACAATCATGGAAAAAACGAGCAATTCAAGAATGGTTAATTAATAAAAACATCCAATATAAAAAAGATGGTTTAAAGGCAGAACTACTTCAGTTAACAAAATTACACAGAGACAAATATAAAAAATTCGCAGTGGATGAAATGGCGTTAAGTCGTGGAATTACAGTATTAAGGTTACCACCGTACCACTGCGAATTAAACCCAATAGAATTAATCTGGGCGCAAGTAAAAGGATATGTGGCACGAGAAAACAGAACATTTAAATTAGTGGACGTGCAACGTTACCTACAAGAAGCCATTCAAAATGTTTCTGCAGAAGACTGGAAGAAATGCATTCAGCATGTTTTAAAAGAAGAGCAAAAAATGTGGGACATAGACAACCGTATTGAACACAATATTGAACCAATCATAATTAACTTTGATGATAGCGGTAGCAGCAGTGACGAATCTGAGGTTGAAGATTAGAAGAAAATTTGTACACAAAAAGAAGTCTATATATTTAGGTATAATTTTTATTTTTACCATTCACTATTACCATTTAGAAATTATTATATAAATTTGTATTTTTAATTCCTGTACACAGACATGAACAATGTCTCAGCAGGATACAAATGTTTATTTATTTAATTATTATTATTATTATTGTATCAATTTGTACATTGTTACATAAATTTGAAATAAACATTATTATTATTATGTTTGGCGGTCAAGAAAACATAATCCTGTAGGTTATATCCAAACTAATTATCTTACTTAGGGATTTCCGAAATGATAGGTGCGTGTAAACTTTTATGATTTAAGTACCAATCAAATAGTAATTTAAGCTTTATAATGTCTTTTAATGTTGGCCGAACCCAATTAGGGTTTCTTGGGTAAGGCTGGCTAGTTTCGAGGAACTGCAGGTAAACCGGGAGAGAGAGAGAAAGAGATATATATATATATATATATATATATATATATATATATATATATATATATATATATATATATATAGAGAGAGAGAGAGAGAGAGGAATGCTTTATTGTCATTGAAAAATTACAAAAATTTTATAGACAAAGCGAAGTAAATTAAAAACTAAATATAATATAAAAAGATTAAAAAATATAAAAATTTAAAAATAACTAAACAAAACAAAATAAAAATATCAATTGCATTGGATATGCAATATCCGTCATTATGATTTTAATTTAAAATTTAAGTAATACTTCTGTATGTGTAACCCAAGAAGAAACTTAAGAGACAGTTCCTTACTGACTTCGGCCGCGACATAATATATAAATATACGTTAATTTGTGAAATAAAGTTAAATTCATTATTAAAATAGTAAAATTGATAATATTGTTTCTGTCATCAAACCAACCCCTGATTAGGTATCTTTCTTATTTTTAATTTGAAATATATATTGTGATTTTTATTAATATTCTTAATTTATTTGGTTCCTACTATAATTACCACAATTATTACTCCGTTTTCATAAAGCCCCACTAATGACTACAACGATTAGGTAAATTACAATATTGCAAAGTTTTCATGAAATAAATAAAAGAAATTGTATGAATATTTTAAATAATTGTACACTCTCAAAAATAATAAGCACGCCTCCGATTTGGTCGTATTTCTACCTGCTTTCACTCTCAATCATTATTTGTTTGAGTTTAGCTGCGGATAATTCGTGCATTTTAGGGCGATATTTTGTAATTTTGGCATATAAAATACACGTATACATTTTACTTTTTTTCAAAAAAGTAGGTAAAAACAATACAATAAGCAACCGGATTTGCTGTGTTGAAAATTGAACAAATACTAGCAAAAAAAAAACAGTGAAACTTATATAAAAAATTTCAGTAGCAAAGTGGAAATTAAATCAAGGAAATAAATGGATAGATATACAATAAGAAAATTACCTTTATTTTTGTAATAATAACCGTAATGCTGCAAATAGTAGACATCAGAAACTTGAAAGGTTTTAAATCAACAATAAATTATCATTTTACCATGTTCTTTAATATCCCTTATTCTTAAATGTTCATTCAGCAAGGACTAGATTTCAAGATTTCTGCCTTTGATTATTATATGTGGTTGGAACGCAATTTTGTAACTTACTGATGGGAAATCAGTTTTAATCATTCATTCTATGTTTTCTTTCGAATAAAAATGAAAATATAAGTAATGATCCTTCTTTTATACATTTTAACTTCACGCTATTATTAAATGGTATTTTTTTTATTTTGACAGATTGGAGTAATTCTTCAATAAAAACTTATTAGACTTAGGCAACTTCTCATACAATTTCCAGTAAATACTGTTGCCTGCCTATATTTTATTATTCATTTTTATCGATTATACATAATTTTCTTTAATTTAAGCGATAAAAATATATAATAATAATAAATTAATGTTTTACTTGTTTTACAAATCCATATACTTTTATTAAAACTACCATATATACTTTTTAATTACGAATTCTATTAAAAGCTGCCTTTGTCAGTGTACTCAGAAATAGTCCATTAGTATCAAAACGAATTGGCGCTGCTGTCGCGCACGGAGCGAATAGAATGAAACAAGAGGGCATTTCATATAAACCAAAAATATCTTACTACTTTTACGGGAGGTATTTTCGAGAAAATTTTAACATCAGCTTTGGTACGGCACGAAAAGATACGTGCAAAGTGTGACATCTTAAGCAATAAAATTCAGGGCGCATATTCGGAAGAAGAAAAGAAGAACTTTGACAAAAAAAAATTAAATCTGCAGAAGGCTGAGTGGTTCTACAAGTTAAAGGAAAAATCAAAGGAGGCAGAAGAAAATGATGAAATGGACGTTTTGTTTCGATTTTCAGCAGAATATGCCACCCCCAAAAGTGCCTTCTGCCGATGCTTTTTACCTGCGACAGTTATGGGCAAGGCCGCCGAGAGCCAGGCCGGGCCCCA